TTATTAAAAGAAATGAAATATTAATGTATATTCTCAGTAGTTTTAATTTGCTAAACCAGGTAGTTTTTCAAGTAATAATTGTCTCTTATGTGAACTGAGGAAAAATATAATTTCCAGCTTTATTTTTTCAATTGGTAATTTTTATTTTCACTAAATGTTAAGTATCAATGTAATCATTTATATAATAATAGATTAGTACACAATTGTATGTCAACACATTATTTATTACCTTAAACTGTCTGGAATTTATTATTAAAGGGTTGCGCTTGCGTAAAATTTGCTATTGTGGAAATTCAGCTTTTTTGCCTTTCGGCTAATCTCATCCCTGTATATATAGATATATTGTGGTTTATTAGGTGGTTAGTTTTTTTTTAAAGTTCTTATAGATATATTGTTAAAAGAAGGTGCATGGTTGCTAGATTTTGAATAACTTGCTTTTTTGGCCATCCTGATTTGGCCTCTTTCCATTTGCTTGTTACTGTTTGTTCTTGTTGCAAGCTGTGCACCATCTTACGTTAGTGTTAGCACGTTTATTGTAAACACAAGTATTGTTGTTGTAAACACAAGTAATAAGTAATCAAATGCCACGTTTGCAAGAATCTCAAAACACAATGATCACACTGTGAGTCAAATGGCTTTAAAGTACAGCAGAAACAATAACCCAGAAGAATAGGCGGTATGGAGCTGTAACGTTCCCTAGTGTAGAAAACACCATCCATATGCATCTTGCTTTGTAAGTCTTTTTAAAATTAAATTATGTACTAAGTTATTTTTATATTCTATGTTTATACATATGGTATAAATATAGTAAAATGTATGCATCTAAAATTATAGCATGGAACTCTTTTCCTGTGTAAAGCTTGCAAACTTAAATTCTTTCTCTAATATTTTATTCATATTTGTATAAGTGACTCTTATAAGAAAAAATTTAAACATTGTTAGAACAAATCTCCATAACACAGTCTCGGGATTGATTACTCTATTATTTCACGCAGATTTCCTCTTTTCTTCCTTTTTTTGCTAGCACATCATGCCTGTAAAATGTGCAAAATATACAAGACATTCTTTACTTTTGTACTGTGCATTTATTATTTTAATTATGTGTTTTTCTTTCTTTTTAGGTAATCACAAATTTTTGGATACTATGCTGGTTAATGGAAGGAACTGAAAAGAATATATGCATTATAAAGTTTAGTTCATGCATGTAAAAAATGCGCAATGAAATAATGAAGGATATTTCATAAAACTGAAGTGTGTTTAAGACCTTAGTTTTGTCTACTTTTCTAGAAAAAGGGAGATTTTTTCTTATCTCAAATTGATTCTTGGTTATTAAAAAATCTGTGTGCCTTTAACATGTCTGATGCAACTTATACAAACGAACTTTCTGAAATCCAGAACACAGTTGATACTAAAGCAATAACTTATTGTTATAATGAGAGTGTTTTTCCAAAAGATCATGTAACTACTCATGATCTCGTTCAACCCAGAAATCTTTATTGTTGTGATATATGTAGTAAAAGTTTTTCACATAAAGAACGTTTAATTAGACATAGTTTTGTACATACTGGCGTAAAACCTTATTCTTGTGATGTATGTGATAAAAGTTTTTCTCGAAAAGATTATTTGGCTAAGCACTGTCTTGTTCACACTGGTAAAAAGAAATTTACTTGTAATATATGTCATAAGAGTTTTTCGACAAATTGTACTTTAACTGCTCACTGCCGTGTTCATACGGGTGAAAAACCATATTCTTGTGTTATATGTAAAAAGAGTTTTGCGAATAAACGCACTTTAACTAACCACAACCTTGTGCATGCTGGTAAAAAATATTCTTGTAACATATGCAATAAGAGTTTTTTAGAAGACAGTGATTTAAATGAACACTACAATATCCATGCTGATGAAAAACCCCTTTCTTGTACGATTTGTAACAAGAAATTTTCAACAGGTACTAAATTGCTTAAACACTGTATTGTTCATACTAATGAAAAACCTTATTCTTGTACCATATGTAATAAAAGTTTTGCTTTTAAGCGTAATTTAACTAGACACTACTTCGTTCACTCTGAGGAAAAACCTTATTCTTGTAGCGCATGTAATATGAGTTTTTCTCAAAAAAGCTATCTAACTAAGCATAATCGTGTCCATTCTGGTGAAAGGCCTTATTCTTGTAGTGTATGTAATATGCGATTTTCTCAAAAACATTATCTGACTAAGCATTACCGTGTTCATTCTGGAGAAAAGCCTTTTTCTTGTAGTGTATGTAATATGTCTTTTTCTCAAAAAAGTCATTTAAATGTACATAATCTTGTTCATTCTGGAGAAAAACCTTATTCTTGTAGTATATGCAATATGCGTTTTACTCGAAAAACTCATTTAAATGCACATAATCGTCTTCATACAGGGGAGAAGCCTTATTTATGTAGTACATGCAACATGTGTTTTAATAAAAAAAGTAATTTAATTCGCCACAACCTTGTTCATTCCGGTATAAAACCTTATTCTTGTAGTGTATGTAATCTGAGTTTTTCTCGCAAAAGTCATTTAATTGCCCATAATCATGTTCATAGCAATGAAAAGCCATACTCATGTAGCATTTGTAATATGAGTTTTTCTTTTAAAAGTAACTTAAACGCACATAATCTTGTTCACACTGGTGAAAAACGTTATTCTTGTAGTATATGTAGTATGCGTTTTACTCGAAAAAGTTATTTAATTAAGCATAATCTTGTTCATGCTGATGAGAACCCTGTTCTTTCAGATTCAGTTAAACCTGAACCTTTTTATTGCTTTTAGATCTTTTATGTTAATTTCATAATAGTTCTTCAAATATATTTAAATAAGGTGGTGTAAATATGGTGAGTAAACTAAGTTAGATGCAACTCCAATATGTTGCTTGGTACAACTTGAAGCTATATTTTTAATCAGAATTTTTCCATTGAATTTTTGAAGAGGATAGAGGAATGGCTGCGACGTGTCTAACGTTCGATGGCTCACCTATTTATACAATAACTTTCTATCAACAATTTAAATAGTAAATTAAATTGAGGAATATCAATTGAACCTAAATATAAATATTATTGATTTTAAAAAAAAGTCTTAACTCTCGAAACTCTTGTGATTCTTCCACGGAACTCCTTTTAGGAAGCGCTTCTCATTAACTAATATTTTAATGTAAAATGTGCACAACTTTGGAACTTTTTTTCTTCTTCTTGTCTAAGCATTGTCGGTTTCAAAGCTGTTAATTCAATCACAACAGTGATCAAGCTGTGTGGTTTCTTCGAAAATTATTGAACTGATTGTTTGATTTTGATTACAGTATTATATGGACTTCTGTAGCAACAATAGATTTGTCGTGGGTCTTGTCAAAGAACCACTAAAGTTTTGCCTTAATATATAACTTGTAACGTCCTGGTGATTAGCATGAGCAAAATCACGAAAGAAATGAATATATGTAAATTAAATAGTCCATTTTATTCTCTATATATTCAGAACAGAAATTTCTTGTTAATTTTAAAATTATATTTTTTGCTATCATAAAAATTTGAATTTGGTTGTAAAATGCAATATAGAAATTTGCATATTCTAGAGCATAAATTAATGATCACAACAATTTCAACACATTTGTATAAATGTTTGCCATTAATGATACCATTCCTTATTTATGTGCACACTGTATGTAAACATAAATAAAAAAGTTATTTGAATGTGTCATTCTCTTGATAGAACATCATAGCAACTAGATTTAAATGAAAAATTTGTAAAAAAATAAATCATGTTTTGTGTCATGTTTCATGTTAAATAAAGTGGTTTCTAACACTTAAAAATATCCGAAGTCCTTATATTACATTCAAATTCTGTGGCTGTTTTATACATGGCAATAGTAAGTCGCCGTTATTAAAGGATTCAATAAGTTTTGATTGGTTTCGAGATTTTAATAATAATTTTTTTTTCATCACAGAACTTAATTTAAATGTGCATTTTCTAAAACCCACTTGTGTTATTGTCTTTTCAAGTATACAAAATGTATTGAAAAATAGGAATGAAATTCTACGATTCAAAAAAATAATTTTATTCCTTACGATCCGCAGTAGTGCTATGATGCAATGATCTTAAAGGGTAAGTGATTTTAAGTATGATGCAATGATCTTAAGTGCTCATGCCCTATTTAATAAGTGATGTTCAATAGGGTATATGTTGAGATCTCATGAAAGGTAAATAATTTATGTTCAAGATAATTTACATAAAAAATATCAATTTTACTGTGTACTTTGAACAATGTATAAAATATAATTTTGTTTTACTTAACATGACACACTTATTGTTCTTTCTAACGAAAATTGTATTTTCTGCTGCTACTAGACCGATACGGAATTTTATGTTCGGCATTTTTTTTTTTCACATTTATTCTTAAAATTTTAATTTTTTGATTTAATTTTATAAAAAACAAAAAAAGTCCGAAATGTTGAAGCTCATTATGTAGAGGGATAAACTCTTAATCCCTTCTATTCTTTATTAAGAAAAGTTCATTAAAACAATTTTAAGCCTTACTCAATTTTTTCCCAAGCGAAATCTAACTTAAAGCAAACTGCAGGATTTGTAGTAGTCCTTATATTCCTAATAAATTCCTGTTTGCCTTGTCCTTATATTCCTGTTTGCCTTATTTTTTAGCTTTTAGTCCTAATTTTTGCGTTTTTCGGAACACCACATTTTCTACAATTGCAAATTTTGAACAGTCGATTTGAATTATCTGAAGATTTGAATTATCGAACCAAAATTCTGTTGATTTTAATTAAAATTGCTAGTGAAAATGACAAAAATTTGATAGTTCAATTTTAGGGATTGTTCACTAATTACAAATATATACGTAGTTCAGGCATATAACCTTACGGGCAGAATTCAATGTTTCAAACTTTTTTGAGAAATCGGTCATTTAATAAAAACGAAACTCTGGTAACAAGATTACATTATCAGATTTTTATATAATTAATTTAGGGGTTGTGCAGTAATTTATTATTTCCAACAAATGAAATGTCAAATAGTGAAGGGTGGAATTTTTTATTATCACAATAATTTCTTTTTCATCTAATATTGTTTTTACTTTTATTTCTTTCAAAATTTGTTCATAAACTGAAAAACAAAAGATCAAGCATCAAGTTTTTCTTTATAAAATTAAACTAGTTCAAATGCCAGACTTGAGTTTTAGCACTACAACCGTTTAATTTTAAAATTGAGCATATAGCTGGAGCTAAGAACAGGAATGCAGATGGTCTTAGTTGTGTATCTTTAGTTCTTGATTTAAATTAGACGAAAGTTAATTGATGGGAAAGTATGTAAATAAGTTTTTTTTTTCTTATTGATGTTTGTAGAGTTTAGTCTTATTTTCTTATTCATATATATAATTTAATTTGGAAAAAAAATGAACTCGTAAAGAAGTTAGTTTATAATTGAAGTTAAACAAGTCAAAGTTTAATTTGAGAAAGTGTTTAAAATTATTATACTTAATGAAACATATGTGTTAAACGAGTCTGATTGTAGAGAAAAGTGCTACTGTTCTTAAGCTATGCTATTTTATTTAGTTATGTATATAAATATTAATAAGATTGAGTTTGGATTTAATTATATGAAGTTTAAAATTGTTAAGTATATTTTTTGGCTTTAAAACTAGTGACATCAAGATAAAAATAAGCATTTCGATTTAAAAGAAATGATCTTGTTAGAGTCAGTCTTTAGATATTGTTGTATTTATGAAGTTATATTTATTTTATGTGAAATTAAATTATAATATTTATTTACATTCTAATTTTATTTTGAATATTTTAGTTTGATATCTACTAATGCTTACTGCAAGAATCAAAAACTAATTAAGTAATTTTAAGTTTTAAAGTTAAATATTGCACATCACTTCTAATGTAAAAATTGTATGTTGCATTTAATTTGACAATTAGAAAATTTAGTTTTAAAAGTGAAATGTTTTGATTGTAACATAGTGCATTGGTTTCAGCCTAAAGTTTAAAGAAATACACAAATAAGTTCATAAATAACTTTTACGAGATAATACTTTTATAGAAACATACAGCTGAACACCCAAATAGAACATTCAGCTTCTGCACCCTAGAGTACGAGGTCTAAAACAACTGTTCCCAAAAGGTGTTCCACCAAAAAGTTACAGGGGTTACGCGATAGTACTTTTTATAGCCAGTGATGAGTTTTGTGACCTCAGATTATATTTAGATACAATCTATAATTTTCTTTTTTAATAATTTGGTTGCCTTTGTGAAATTATTTCTAATAAAATGCCAATAAAATAGAAAAGGCATTTTTTAAAAGAAAATATGAAAATTTTTTATTACAATATATTGAATAAATTATTAAAAGGGCAACAAAATACTCCATTAGTATTTCTCATCACGTTTCTGATCAAAATAATTATCTTCTTTAATAAAGAAATATGTTTCCTTAATAACCATTTTCAACGTTTATAGCAGTTTTTCTAAATTTTCATTCCGAAGTAACCACAATTCGGCTTATTTTAACTAATTTATATTATTTATTTTCAACTTATACAGTAAAAACGAATTCTTAATTAGACTAAATATAGCACAAGAACTGGGAATTTAACTTTCGGATATAAAACCCAATTTAAGATTATTAATGATAAAACGAAGAAAATTGCTCCTTCCTCTAATTAAATATTTGAAAAATAGGCTACAACGTTCATTATTACCTTAATAAACTTTATAAAGCGGACCTGGTAACTTTATCCGCAGATAAAGTTATGCGCGAACCAATATTTATTAATTATAATATTAATCGAACCAATTTTTTGAAACGTGGAATATTAAAAAAGTGAGCGTCAGTTTGTAGGAAAACAATCATATACGCAAAGAAATATTTATTGAATTTTTTTAGGAAGAACTTGTTTAGTTCAAAATTTACCAATTACATAGCATAGGCCGGGATAGCCTGATTGGTAAGGCACTGGGCCCAAGTCCAAGAGTTTGTGGGTTCGATCCCAGCCGACCAAAAACTCTCCGTGTAGTAAATGGTGACTGATGTACGTTAAATCTGTCGAGTCGCAAAGTCCTCCATGTCTTCATAACAAATCAATACTTCTGGGGGTACTGATCCAGGATTTTCTTTGTCTTCTGGATTGGTTCAAAATTACAAGGCTATGGAGTCGAACATTAGTAGCCGTAAACCCAAAAGTGGTTCGGCTGTTCAACAACGGTTATAAAATTACATAGCATGAATGACAGTTTAGGGGATAGAGCGTTCGTCTTACAATGAGGTGAACCAAGTTCGAATCCCAAGGATGGCTGGTTGATACGAATTCCGCACCTGGCTCGCACCGACCACAGTGCAGAAGTGAAATATCCTCAGTGGTAGGCGGATCATGAGTTAAGAGTTTCCTTGCTGTCATTCTGACCGTGAGAGGTTTTCCTCTCCATGTAATACAAATGTGGGTTAGTTCTTCCACGAAGTCAAATTTCCCCCCAATACTTGATACAGTAGTTCCCTTGTCTTCTGGATTGGGTTCAAAATGATAAGGCTAAGGAACATTAGTAGTCGTAAACCCAAAATTGGGTAGGTTGTTCCACTACAGTTATAAAATTTCACAGCATGTACATTGTTACTCTAAAGAAAGACACTTAAAGAATTTTTTATAACTTTAGCAAAGTAGAATTTATTTGAAGCTTGCTTCACATTAAAAAGTGAGCTTCAATTTGTTTGAAAATACGCTTATACGTCAAGAAATATTTAGTGCAAATTTTTAGGTCGAACTTGATTAATCTAAAACAAGATTATTTCCTCTCATACATATTGCTAAATTAAACGAGGATACTTAGAGAATTTTAATTTTAGACTTTGTAATATGGAATTCATTTAAATTTAAAACCTATTTTAATATTAAAGAGTGAATGTCAATTTGTTTAAAAATTCGCATACATAATAAGAAATTTTAATCAAACATTTTAAAGGAAAAATTGATTCGTTTATAACATTGTTATTTCATAGCATATATTATGCTAATCGAAGGAACACTTAGCAAAATTTTTTGCAATTTTGAATTCAATTGAAACTTGTTTCATAATTAAAAATGAGCGTCAATTTGTTGGAAAATACCCCTATATATTACAAGAAATATATGTCGAAAATTTTCATGCTAAGTACAGAGTATACTATCAAAAGCAAGGGCTCTTAAAATTTTATGTATACATATATTCACATAATTTTCTGCAATTCACTTGAAACTTGTGAAAGGGTAATTGTCAGTTTCAAAATATCATTTGCATTTTTGCTCTTTAAATTTTTATTATTTTTTTTTACCTAATACAATACAATGTTTTCGATTAATTAAATTTGTTTCTTGTCACTCAATGACGAAAATTTATGAATTATTTTTTAACAATTTGATTCATCAATTCATCATGGCAGCAAATATATTCATAAAAAAATCAAATCTTCAAATAAATATATTCATATATCACGATAAAAAAAAAATGGTAAAAATTTTTTTTCTTCACAAAAATACTTTATTTTCAAATAACTCACACAACAATATTTTAAAACTATTCGAGGGTATCCATCAAATCTTTGGTAATTTTGAAGCAGTCACTACAGGATTGTTTAGTTGCAGTAATCGCCGGCCTTCAGTTTTATAATCGTAAGTGCAGTGGTGTGTTTCTGCATACCTATGACTGGCACAAAAATTTTTGCCACACCTGTACGATGAGAAAAAAGAAACTAGCGTTAGTTTGCAAAATAAAAAGGTTATATTTATCCACATGAATTATCTTAAGTTTTTTACAATTTGATCACGATGCAAATAAATATAAATTTTTAAAAAAAGAAGCATTTTTCCCCCAATTAAAACTGCAACAGAAATTTCTTTTTCTCATGGGGTGTTTTCCTTTTTTAAGATTCGATCAAAACTTAACTCTTTTTAATTTTTATGGACAATATTTGGAATTATTGCTTAATTTTGTTTCTTGAAATCTATTATTTAACCTCTTCACTACTGAAGTATAAAGGAATATAGCAAAAAAATATTTTACAGTTCCAAATTTCTATTTTACGGTCATAAGTCACAATAAGATAAAGAAAATATGAATTATACAGTCAGGGGGCTAATAATATTAGGTACACTAACATGAATGTCAGGTTTTAACTAAGTAAAATAATATAAATAATTTAAATTTTAAATTGCAACTTAAGTAGGGATAATCATGCATAATGTTATATTATGGTCAATTTAAAAATAATGATGAATAAATTTAATAATTATTTAAAAAATTCTTTATGAGATGCAATACTAAAAGAAATACCAATGCTTACCAGTGCATTACAGCATGAAATCTCAGTTTCAAAACTATTCTAATTACGCAAACCACACAAAATAAATAATTATTGAAAACAATCTAACATTAAATATAAAAAGTTTAATTCCTGAAGGTAAAATTTCAAAATTATGGGAAAAAACACAAAAAGTTAAAGTTATTAAATGTATGTAATTAAAACAATTAAAAAACCTTAATAGACAACAATTAAATTAAAAACACATAAAAATTTTGTTAAATAAACCAAAAATTTAACGCTTGTAATACTATGAGATTTCACTTGGATACTACGCTGTCATAAATTTCATTGTATATACCAAGGTACACATGTGGACCTGCATGCTCTTGACTGTGTAATTTTTAAAGATTAAGTAAATATAAATTTTAAAGCTTCATACAGTCAAAACTACTAAGTCAAAAGAAAAATATTCCTTTCAGAATAACTAAATTATATAATATTTAAAATTAGTTACACTTTTGAGCATGTGGATTCAGTGTCATTTTTTGAAAATCACTTCTGTTTATGTGGAATACTACCCAAATAATTTACACTTTTTGCATCTATTACGGAATCTTCAGAAAGCTTAAATATCCATGAATGTTTCAGTGAATATAAAACTATAAATTTTCTTACAGCGTACTTTTAGAAGTGAAGGTCCACATATGTGGATCAAGGTAATGAAGAGGTTTAAGTCTTATTGTTTAGTTCTGTAATTTATCGGAAGATAACATAGCCAAAAAAGAATGTGAGAATTAGTATAACCATGCAATTGAAAAATTTTTGTGTTAAGAAATAAAGAATAAAGGCCGGCCAGACGGTCGAGCGGTTAGCCTGCCTGACTGCGAAGCCAATGGCTGTGGGTTCGAATCCCGCTCAGGGTATGGATGTTTCTTTCTGTGTGTTGTTCTCCATTGTGTGATGTGTGAATATGGCTCACCCTATAAACGGGTATATGTGGCAGTGTGTTCGAATGTTGATCTCCTCCATGACTTAGGTTCACAGGTGCCTACTGGGTAACGTTAAATGAGTAATACTTCCGGCATCTTCCTAAGGCAAAGGACATAAAATTTCAACACCTGCCATTAGAATAAAAAAAAAACTAATAAAAAATAAAATAAAGAGTTATAAATAGATTTTTGTTTTCGATTTTGTCGCGACCATAAACTACTGAGTCTTACATTACTATTAAAATAAAAAGCGCCTGCCATTAGAATAAAAATAAATAAATAATAAAAATAAAATAAAGAATAAAAGTTATAAAGAGATTTTTTTCTCGTTTTTTTCCCCGCAATAGTGAACTACTGAGTCTTACATTACTATTGAGTCTTACATTACTATTTTCCATACATTCATGCACTTTTTCATTTATATAGAAGTATTTATATTAATTTTTTACAATTAATTTAATTCTCTAAAAGTACTTAATTTTTAGAAGCTTTTGCAAGAGTTAGTTATTTTTAACATAATTTTTTTTATTTATAGATTGAACAATGCATACACAAATTAAGCTTACCTGCAAGTGTAACTTGTAGCAAGACCTGTCTTCTTTGAACAAGTAGTGCATCTTTTGTAGGACTTTTTTTTGGTTTTAATTAGAGGTAATTTTTTTCCTGAGCTAGGTCTTTTTATTTCTTCAGTTGACTTGGGAGATATCTTAAAATTCTTTGCCTAAATAGGAATAAACAAAAATTTTCAAAATATTTTGTCCTTCCTGCTAAGAAAAATCACAAATAAAATTGTGCTAATTTATAATTTATGAAATATAAGATTTAATAGTGAATGTGTTGGTCACAGGAAGTCACAGAAAAAAAAAGGGGGCAACGCAAATTCTTTTGAAATTAAAACTAAAAAAAAATTTAAATCCTAAAAAAATTAATTAGATTTCTAATCCAAAAATTAACTTCAAGTATAAAAGGAATAAATATAAAAAAAATTACTGTTAAAAAATTAGTTAAGTAAAATCTTAAAAGAAATATTAGAATGGTATATTGTAGAATAGGGTATATAAAAAATATGTGAGTAATTTTAAAAATTTTTGATTAAGAACCAAAAAATGAAATGAGTTGACAGGCATTATTCTTGAAAAAGTTTTTCCTCTTCTTTGGTACTACAGCCCGGGACTGGCCAAGGCCGTTTCAATAAGTTTTTGCTATCTTGCCCTGTTAGTCACCATTGTCATACATCTTCCAGCAGCGATCACTTGGGAGCCTTTTCAATGCTATCTAGCCACCAAATGGGTAGTCAGCCTTTCTTATGGGCTCCATCTGATTTAAAAAAAGTCACTTTCTTGGTTGGTTTGTTGTCATTCAAAGGTTTTTAGTATATCCCATTAGATGGTTAGGATATTTGTAGAGGTGTTCTAACCATCTAGTGCGATTAGCTTTAATGACAAGGGCGATACCAGGCTGCCTAAAGAATTGAAAAGTCGACTTCTCCGTCAAATTACAAAAATAAATATCTATAAAAACCTTTTACGATCAGTATTAACATATGGCAGTGAATGCTGGGCTCTCACTAATTGGAAGAGAACAAATTGATGGTGTTTGAAATTAAAGTCATGAGAATTTTTGGTACTGTTAACTAAAACAATAAGTGGGGTACCCTTTACAATTTTGAGAACAAGTTTTTTAGTTGAATAAAAAAAAGCAAAGTTTTTTTAAATTTCATTATTTATTTATTTTTGTAATAAAAGGAAGCAGTTAGTAATTGTTAGTAACAATGCATAAACTTACTAATAATTAACTGAAATAAAGGAAATTAAAACTTACAATAGATATTAAATTTGCTTTGTTTTCTATTGGAGAAGTGTCAGGCGAATTTTCTTTAAAAGCTGAAAAAATTTGTATAAAAATTAAAAACATCCAAATTGCAAAACTACATTTTTTTTAAATAAAAAACTTTCACCACTAACCTCTTATGCTAGAAGCCACAAGTGACCTAATGCCTGATTTGTCTAAAATACCAGGTTTCGTTTCTTTGCCAGCAACTGGAGATCCCAAGTCATATGACACATCACTGTGACCATCTAGCATTTGCATTAGCATGCTAGGTTTACTACTTGAGCTCATTCCTACAAATACAGAGTTTTTAATACTGTTTTTCCACTTTCTTTTGCTCTGATGGAGTTTACTTTGAAATGGCTGCTTCTCACCGTAGTCTACACGACTCGATTTCTCGGGGGTGGTTTTGGGCCTGTTCTTCAGCCAGGAATCTAGATCAAGAAACTTTTGGGAAGATACTGCATCATCACTGGTCAGTGGATATCTTTTGTGCGTTTTCTTTGCTCTAGAGAAGTCATACTTGATGATTGAATCTTGGCTGGAACAGCGGCTCATGTTGATGGCGACAAGGCGTGTTGGCTGAGAAGGCACGCGTGGGACAGTGTCTTTTACAGAAGATGGGAGACCTGATGTTATATAAGGCAGAAAACTTGAGCTATTCTTCAACCCTAATGATGACTTATCTGGAGATGATAGGATGTAAGTAGAAACACTGTTTGAAATGAGATTTAAGGCAGCGTGTGAATCTTGACTGGTGGTTTTTGGAGGGCACTTGCTAGTTTCATTTATGACGTTGTGGCTGACAGAACTTGTCTTAGTATCCAAATCAAGAGAATAGAATGGAAGGCCAGATTGAGCATCTTTGGATGAATACTGTTTTGATTTGGAATCAAAAGCATCAATTCTTTCTAGAGGCGGTAAATGGAAACTATTCTGATTTTTAGATGTCGGCTTTCTTCTAACAGAGTTGTTTTTTGGATGAGCAGATGAATTTCGATCTTTTTTCGACTGAAAAATACAAAAACAGTTCAATAAAATTGACTGTGATAACTTTATATTTTTTGTTAAATCTAAAAAAACATTTAACCCTCTGAGCATTAGTCCTGTTTTTTTTCAACTATTAGCCAATGGCTTTCAAAAATGTTTTTTTCAATGTTGTCCAGAAGGAAATTATGGTACAGCGGGGAAATTTCAGAACAGTTTCACCTAGAGGCTCAATGCTTGGACAGTTAATACACATTTGTTGCATGTTAAAACCTTTCAAATATAAGTAACACTATAATTATTGCAGAATGAATTTTGCTGGATACATAAAATAACAAAACAAAGCAAATTTATATAATTTTACCTTAAGTAAACTAATAATTAATAGAAAAGTCTTACATATTTTGGCATTATTAAGTATTGTAAAATAAATATTGTTATATTGAAATAATATTCAGACATATTTATTCATTTAATTCACTTTCACCTAAAAGATTTCTATTTTCAACGGGCCTTAATATTACATTTTAATACCTCACCCATTTAATTTTACATTTCATTTGTAACTTATTTAATCGAGAACTGTGGTATTGCTATTATGATGTTTTGTTACTTTTATATATATGTGGTATTGCTTTTATGATGTTTTGTTACTTTTATCTTTGCTGCACTGCTATAATTACTTTAAAGTTTTAGTTTCTCTTTCATAAGTTTTCACCTGCCCTTAAATAATTTAGCCAAAATTTAAAAAAAAGAAATAGCAAGTATAGCCCTACTTATTTTGTGATGGTGGTAACAACCAATAAGAGTTGAGTATGCTTTGGGGGCTTGGTTAGAGGAGGTGAGAGAAAAAGGAAGGACACATGGTTTTGGAGAGCTGAGGTTAAGACAAAAAATATGAGGATCCTCAACAGCTAAGTTATATTATAAAATTTTCTATCACCCCTTAATTATTTTTTTATTTATTTTATATATTAGCAGTGCAGCTTCATAATGTATAATTTCATGTTAATTTTTTTTATGTACCTATTATTAATTGGAGTGAATGCCTTCCTGGAACAAAATTTGTAACTCTAAATATCTTAAATGATCTATATTAAATAAATAGTTTTAACACCTTGCAATTAGTGATCATTCTAATGATCTTGTTCTCTTACTTAAGAGTATATTATTTTAAATTGTTATTCATTTTTATTCTTATCTTAATGTGTGTGGTGATGAACTGAACATCACCACAGAACATCAAACAATCATTTCTCACCCACTATAATTTAAGATTTCCATTTTTGGCTAATAATTCTATTTAAAATTCAAAATTAATTGCCAATTTCGAACTGCAAATAGCTATTTCATCACCATTTGGCAACAACTGACGATTTTCTTGGTTCATTTCAAGCAAACCCGAAACATTTTTATTATTCTGTTATGTTTCATTTTCAAGTACATCTCACTGCTTTTGCCTCCTTGAAAAAAATGAAGTGGAAGGACAATTTGTTATATTTTTATAAATTTGAGTACAAAAATAAAATGAGATATTATTTCTCAATTATATCGTGGTTATTGCATAATCACAGCTTCTTCAATACATGATGAACCTTTTATGAAATATATATAAGGCTATAGAATAATTTAATAAATTACAAGCCACAATTTTAAAAATTAAATATGTTTTAAAGAATTGCAAAATAATAATTACCCTATTGATGCTTAAAGCTTTTAACTGTTCTTGTAGTTGCGCTATTTTATCTCGGGTAATTTCATTTTCTTTCACTATTTCTTGATCTAATTCTTCAATGTGTTTAATAGAAGCTATTGATGATGTCTCACTGTAGATCAATAATAAAAACAGTTTCAAAAAATATTCTTACAATATGTTTACAGTAAAAGATAATTTTTAGTTTAATGATATGCAAAATCAATTTCAATTAAAAATAGGTGATAACACTACATAAATATAAACAATGAACTATTTTATAAACAATCTTTGGAAACAATTATATTATAAAATTATAAACTTAAATATATAAATAAAAGTAATCTTTTAAAAAAATTATGAATATTATTATTATTTAATTTATTAAATGTAACATTTCAGGAGGCAAATAAAAACTGCTTTGATGACCAAAAATAGTTTTTGAACTAAATATACTTGTTTTACCTAATTTATATGTACTAACTTTAAACTTCCAGTTTCTCCGTTGTATTATTTCTCATTTTCCTATCATGTTTATTTCTTTTTCTTTGTTTTAAATAATTTAATGATTAAGTTATCTAAGCAATCTGTTCAGTTAATCTCTACAGTAAAATTTTTTTAAACAGAAAAGACATCTTTTGCTGCCGAAATGTTAAATTCAGAAATAAGAATTTACAACAAGGCTACTACATAGTAATGTCAAGAAATTTTGAATCAGTAATATTTTAAGACAATATAAGCTATTTTCTTTTATTTATTTTCATATGCTTAAACTCATTATTCATTTATATGATTTGAAAAGTTAAAAAATCATTTATATCAAACGATATATTAAAAAGAATTCAGATGATATAGTAATCACACGATTTGATCACATGATATGGTAAAGTTGAAAACATGAAAAAATAATGAGTTAAATTTTCAGTTTCATTGCAATGTACATTTATGATGTTTCTTATTTTGAATTTTTATGTTGACAATTACATTTATTTCTAAAGAATAAAATCAAACCAGGAATAAAACGTTTGCAGAAATCCGCGATTTCAATTTGAATTAATCAAACTTAATTGAAATCAAATGAACACTCTCATGCGATTATTTAATGATAAGTTTGAGTATGAAGAAAAACATAAACAAAATTATTTTCTAGTAATAAAGCTTTTCAAGAAGATTTTGAATTGTTGCAGGTACCTGACAGTGCCTGAGAGGGGAGATACAGTACAATCACCTCTTTCCAAAAGAGTATACATGTGAACTTTATCACCATCATGAAACACTAGAACAGTTAAAGGTCTTCCATTTGAACTACCAGCTTCACTACAAAAAATTTTGAACATGAGTATTCTAAGAAAGTAAATATATAATTTCAATAAAAAAAATTTACCATGATGGTTCTTATCATTTTTAGTTTTAATTCAGATAGAAGTGTGTAAAACTAAAATTTTCATTCTTCATAGAAAATTAATTAAATATTTTACAAAATTGTATGAATTTTTAATAATGCATAGTTCTGTAAAAACAATGTATATTTTTACAATAATGGGCTAATGCAAGGTAAAAAATTAATTGACTATATTTGTAAAACCTTTTAACTGCTTCCCTGATTATCCCGAGTTAACTGGGGTACGTATATATTGCAAATATTTATTATCCCGATGAAACTTGGGCATATCAGAATTCGTCAATACATTTTGTTTTATCACGTTTTTACTCGGCTGGAAGCAAAGCAAAAAATAATGATAATCTGCGGTGATTGGAAGTTATCCAATTTATTTTCGGAGTTTTGCTGCTTGTGGGACTGCAGACGTGTTTTGTGTAATTGTATATACAATGGTTGATGAATTTACATAGAAAAAAGAGTAAAAAATGGCGTTTGCGAGTGAAAGTAAAAGTAATGCAGGTGATTTTTCAGATTATGAAAATATGAACATATACAAAGACTAATATTTAACTTTTTTCATTAATCTGGGATAGTAAACTGATGGTAAATTAAATATTTTTTACAAATAAGAAAACTTTAAAATTTCGACTTAGAACNCTTGTATTTATTAATGAAATAAAAAAAAATATGGTGATTTGTTGTATTTTTATTTCTTCAAAAAAATTGGTAAGAGAAGCGTCTAGTTAGATTGAATGACTTTTTTTCTATAAATATGATACAAAGTGGTTAAAGGAGTACTTATATTAAATTGAATTCAGGACTAACACTTACTTAACCTCTTCATACCCTCAGGCAGGTTCAGAATTTATTTTATTAGTTCCCCCTATCCTTGCTACAAAACTTGCTTCGTACTGCCCAGAAAAACCAACCTGCTGCAACTCATTCAAAATCATTCTTTTGTAAGTCAGTTTGGGCATCCCTTTTGGTCTTTTTCCTTTGGGAGCTCAAGTAGGTGCATCATATGGTATCTTATTGGAGGGTAGTGGGCATTTGTAATAAAGATAGAGCAACATGCTTCATCAGCACTTCAAAATTTCATATTTAAGGTTTTAATATCTTTAAAAAAAAAAATTAAGTTGGATATTTTCTCAAGCCGAAATATTTCAAATATATACCTCATGCACTTATTTTGAAAGGTCACCAACACTTGATTCTCTGCTTCTTCTGTTTGTTTCTAGATCTCATCATATAAAAGAGTAGCAAGTACTGTGGATTTGTATACTGTGTCTCTTTGTCATAACTTAAACTCCAAAATATGTGTAATTTCTTTTAAACATGTCTGTGCTCTGATGACGTGATGTTTAATATCATCAGTATTTTTCCCATTTTTAATAAAAATTAAGCCAAAATAGTTAGAGGAATGTACATAATTTATTTAGTTTTACTTTCGATTTTGCACGTTTTTCATTTATAATTAGTGCATTTGTTTTCATTTTGTTAATGTAAAAGCCAACATAGATTGACTATTTGTTAAAAATTTATGTTTTTCCTTGAAGATCAACATGTCAAGATGACAAAAGAACAATGAATTCAGAATTATATTCACCAAAATATATTGATCAGTATTCAAGCAAATGTTATAATTGTTAATTATTAATGTTATATGTAACTTTGTCAAATATTAAAAAAAAATGTGAACTTTTTTATTTCAAGTTATAACCATGGAGCCGCGATGGCCCAGGGGATGCCCCAGGTTTGAATCATAGCAGTGGCTGGTTGATACGAATTCTGCTACCGGCTCGCATCGATCACAGTGCTGACATAAAATATCCTCAGTAGTAGACAACTAACAGTGGGAGGTTTTCCTCCCTATGTAGGGCAAATGCTGGCTAGTTACATCAAAAGGTCTTCCTCAAAGAATAATTTTTCCTAATGATTGATCTAGGAGTTTCCTTGCCTTCTGAGTTGGGTTCAGAATTACAAGGTTACAGAGGGTTGCACATAACACAGAAGGGTTGCACATAACACAGAAGGGTTGCACATAACACTGATAGTCTTAAATTCAGAATTGGTTGGATGTTCAACACTGGTTATAAAATAAAATAAAAAGTTATAGCCATGAATTATAAAACTCTGTTGCCATATAATTCATTGATTTTCAAAATACACCGATTAATTATTTTAAAAAATCATAAACCAGTACATGATTAAGAAAGAATAAATAACTAATTTTTAAAATCCATATCAAATTTACAATGTAAATTTTCTCCCTCATGTCTGAAATGTATTACTTTTTTCCAGTATTTTTTACTGAACTTATTTTTATAATTGTTTTCAACAAACATTCAATTTAAAATGCAAACCCTTTGACCAACTATTAAACTGTTGCACATAACAATTCCCTCATTTGTAAATCTGCCATTATTTTTAAGGGGTCACAGTACCCAAAAAATGACAAAAATACCAATTTTTTTTTATTGCTTATAATAAAACTTCAAACTATTTCAAATGCACTGAAAAAAAAAACAATGTCTCTATCTACATTTTTGAAAAAGTTATGAATGATTTTTGATTGTCCTAATACAGAATCTTGCTCTGCAGACAAACTTTAAACGGCTTTTTCTCATAAATCATAATTTTGTGTTTTGATCTTGATTAAATCCCTAAGGAATTTTTTCTATTTAAGATAAAGCTTTGAAGTAAACTTTTTTATCTTAAGTATAATACACTTATTTAAACTGTGCATGGAATAAGCATTTTATAAGGTATTACAATTTTTACAGCATGTTATATATACCTAACAGGAATTTTTCCCCTTTTTTTTCTACTTTTTTACAAAATATTTTATAAAAAATACTCTAATTGATATATCAATAAATGAATGCACAAAATTGTTAAGAAGAATATTGTAAGCACTAAGAAAAAAAAATTTTTGAAAAATAAGTTAAAATAAAAAAGCCTCAGGGATTTAAAAATTTTGAATTTTTTCAACTTTTTTTAAAATTTTAAAAAATTCAAACAGTTTAATTGTTTTTTGAAGATAAATTATTGATTATAAGTTAAATAAGCATCCTCAAAATGAATGATTATACCTTTATTTAAAAAAATTGTTGCAAAGGTACTGTAACCCCTTAAAAGAGTAAAAATTTCAAACTGTTTTAATGGCCTTTCAATTAAGTTTCAGATTAAAGATAACTATAAATTACTATAGGGGTAGACAATAAAGTAGTAAAGTAATTGTGAATACTTAATGGACGAAACAAATATAATATGCAGCATCAAATCATCAAGTTACATCAAATACAATCAACAATTATTTAAACTAAGTAAAAAATCATTTATGTTCAGTTATTTCAGTCAATAATTTTAACCACAGAAAAAAGAAAATCAATTCAGTTACAATTAGATTTTAAGAGTTCAAGCATATAATTGCACAAATTTTTTTAACAAAAAAAATAATAATCCTATATTTTTCGGTTAAATTTTTAATTGTAGAACTAATTTTAAAATGCATGTAACATAATGTGAATCTTAAAACAGCACAAAACATAAGTGCCATTTAAAATTTTTCTAAAAAAGAAACAACAGCATAGGAAATAAAATTTTGGCTTAAAATCTGTCAATCATCATGAATTTTTTTTAAAAATTAGATAACTTTTTTATCAATCAATTTTGAACTCATTTCAGTAATGAACTAAACATAACGATGTAAATTAACATGAAATTTTGAAAATCAATACTTAATATAACATAAGAAAAATGACAAAAGGTCAAATTGTCCGCTTTCAAATTTTTGAATAAATGCTTCAAATCTTAACAAATCTATAAATTTTCATCATTTATTATCAAAAACAATTACTTAACAATACGATATAAAAATATTAATGAGAATCAATCAAGATTTGTAGAATTCATTAAAAGTAACCTGAAATAACTTTCAAGATAATTAAAATCTTATAGAGAGAAATAAATCGATACAAATAAAATTAAAATGGACAACTAAGTATAAAAATGTAAATAATATAATTTCAATATAGATATTAGTCATTACAGTTAAGGAAATTATTAATTAAATACTGAAATCTTATACCTGCTCCTTTCAACATATTCTGCTAAATCTTTTAACTTCTTTGTATCTGAAACTAAACAATTAAAACCAATATAACCAATCAACACAATTACTTGAAATTTAATTATTTTAGTTTTTATTTACTGAAACAAAACTAAATAGTTATTTCTGAATGGCACATCTTAAATAAACAGTGATATAACATAACAAAATGTAATTGTGATAGAAAATTGCTAAAAGTAGATTGAATTTCTTAGTTTGAATAAACCTTTTCATTATCAATAAATAAATTTTTTTAATTAACAAAAAATATTCTAAGAAAATATTTAAAAAAAACCATTTGTAATAGCTAATATAGAAAATTACCTTAAAAAAATATTTAGTTAGTAAGAAAGGAACTTTTTAAAAAAATAGATTTAAACAAATTTTACGACACAATATTTCAACTTTGAAAAAAAATTAGCAATATTGAAACAATGCTCTTCTCATTAAAATAAAAATAATTATTAAAATTATATTACAGTACAGGTAACTATACAAATAAAATAAATTTAATACAGATTATACAATACACATTCAAATTAACCGAACCTTGACGAGTATTTATAGGACCCCCTCTCATGCCCAAAACAAGTTTTAAAGTAGCGCCATCTGTTATACTGTAATCTTGAAGGCATAAATCATCATTTAGCTCTTGTGATTTCCAAATCAAATGTTGTTGAGATACGGGTATACCTAAAATAATAAAATATATAATTCGTAATAGTTGTTTCAATTGTAATAAAATATTTAATAAATAAAATATATTTTTAAAAATAAATGCAATTAAAATTTGATATTATAATCTGAAAGGAACATGCTAAAATTTTGTGTTATTGAAAATTTCGAATATCAAAAATCAAGTATTTTAATTCTGAAGACTTAACACTTCGGAAGAAGAAGAATTGAAATTATACTTTAAAAGTTGTATAACATAGATTTACTTCAAACAACGTTTTTTCAATAGATTTCATGATTTACAGAAATTTCTGTTTTGTCATCTTTCACTTTGATAAACATATCTAATATTTCTTCTTTCCCATTTTCATACTGCTGATTTTTATCAAATAACTGCACAATTCAATATTATTTTGGCAATCTAAAATATTTTGTAAATAATAAAATATTGCTGAAAAATCAAAAAAAATCTATTCAGCTTAATGAAGTTTTTTTCTATTATCAGCATAGCAAATGCTGAAAAAATCCAGGTTATTTTATGAGAACTAAACACTTCTGCTACCAAAATGTGACTGCATTTAAATTAGAATTTTAAAATTATTAAAATTTATAATGGAAATTTTCAAGATTTTAAAAAAAAATTTAAAAATTCTTACGCAAAATAATAAAACCTACCTTCAGAATATTGGATTTTTGCTTTTATTGATACAATTGTTTCCAATGGTGAACAACTTAGTTCAAAAGCACTTCCCGTAAGTGTTTCAATGAACAACTCCATTCGATTTTCAGTCATCTTATCTATAAATATTATAAGAGACAAAACTTAAGTAATACATAAAATAAATTATGAAACATGAAATTAAAAAATAAATATTCTAAAACCAAATATGAGCTTCTCTATACAATAAGAGATATATCTCTTGAATTTATTCATGTTGCTCTTCAAAAACTTTGTTGTCACATTAAACAGTCTAATGTCATTTCTAATGTTCTATATTTGTTGAAGTTAATCATTGACTGTTATATTAAACTTTGTCCATCTTAAGGCACTGCACTTTCTGCTCCTCATGAAAATGATGCAAATATCAATGGAAAGAAAATCAACAATTTTACAAAAATAAAAAGTATTTGTTACACATAACTTTTTAATATTTTAAGAATTATTTAATTGCTACATTGTTTGAGAATTAGTTATTAATTTCAATAATATCCACCAGAAAAAAAATATTGATGGTTTTAAAATTTAATAATTTTTTTAGATATTTAAGAAATTTGCATATTTTTTTAAAGCTTGATCCACTATTGTATGTAGTTTAACCTTATAGAGAAATATGACAAGTAGATCAAAGTAAACATATAAAGTGATAAAATAATTTTTAAAAAAAATCAATTAAAGCTTTTCAATTATCTCACATTGACTAAATAGAATTATTCTATTTTCTGAAATAGATGGTTAGGTACTAATGAGAGAAGTTACCATAGTTTAAAATATTGCTGAAAAATCAGGAGAGGGATAAGAAACGTTGCACCAATATTGTTTCTTTTTTCTTTCAACATTTTAGCACAATCATAAAGTAGCAGTAAACCTAAATTAAAAACAAAAAAGGATATATAAATATTACAGATATCAATTAATGGAAAACACAATAAATGAATTAGGGTGACCTGGGGTAATTCCTGATCAAATTTATTTTATGCTTTTTTTCTTGATAATTGAAATCAATTATACTATGTGAAAAAGAGAATATGAATAAATAGAGGTGCATTATCATATCAAAAGCCACATTTAAACCATATATTTCTTAAAATACAAAATTTAGGCATTGATTATTCAAATTAAAGTCAGCAAGCTGCTAATTTAAATTGCTAATAACATTAAAAAAAATCAATATCTATATAAAACAAGGAAAAAATTTTACAAGGAGTTAAATAATGTTAAATAAGATATTGAATGTACATATAAATAAGATATAAACAACTATTTTAATTGTTTCCTTAAATAAAGATCAAACTCTGATAACTATTTTTCTACTATCTCTTATGAAATAGAAAAATATTTTCTACTATCTTTTATGAAATAGAAAAATAGACGGGACACTTTTCATAAATGTGTTTCAATTCTAATTTAAAAGATCATTCAAATTTAAAACTTTTTTCACTATTATCAAAATAAAACATAAAACTTGGCCCACAGAAATCTGGAATTTATTATTTTACATAAAATTATCATATTAATATAGTTAAAATTACAATGCATAATCATAGTTCTAAATAATTAATTATAGATAGGTCAAAAATCTATAAAATTTTAAAATCATATTAAAGTGTTAATCAATGAGTCAAATAATGAGTCATAAATAAATGAGTCAAATGTATTCACAAGTGCTTGGCATTGCTCTCTAATCCACAAAATATCTAGGAATTATATACAATTAATATAATATATGCAAGAACTCGATTTCGCAAATAGTATAAAAATAGAATAAAAAAGATATAAACCTGATTATCAAAACTGTCTGATTTTTAAAACAAAAATCAGCAGTGATGTTATTATTTAAACACAACAACATTTCTTCTAAAAATTAAGTAAAACTACAAGATTTAAAAAATTAATAAAATAGGAAATGTAACAAAAGATCAATCAATCACAACAATTACAGTTACTATAGCAACAGCTTATGCCCTTCCAAAGGTTAAAATGAAAGTTAAAGTTTTATAGCAGTAATTATGAACTCAAAATAAAGCTTTAAATTTTTTGGAATCCAATGTGAAGTAGCATTTCATTGTGAATAATATATTGAAAAGAAGGTTTTGGTAGCATTCAGATAAGCAATATTTCTTCAAATGATTTTATTTTTGGGTAGTAGATCTTACAATATATAGGGTGGCAATCGATTAGTATATTTATTATTTACCAAAACAAACATGGCCGGTGTCGTGAATTTGAGCAAATCTCGAATAAATTTACTTTTTATTAAATATTATTCGGCAAATTTTATGAAACATCGAGAATTTTCAAGTGAAACTAATATTCAAACAGGTTAATAAATTCTTATGAATCATTTTGTATTCTATTCCTATGAACTTATGATATTGAATCCTATAAAAGGGATTGAAAAAATATAAAAGACTCGAGTCATCCTTTGACTCATTGCAAAATTAGTTCCCCCCCCCCCCAATTTAATTATCCTACCTGCTACCTCACCGTGTCTTATGGATGTCTCTTCAGGATGGATGTTTTAAAATTTCTCTTCACTAAAAATAAATTAGGCTCTTAGTAAATATCCCAGAAGTAGTCAAGAATTACCCTGAGTCAGACGTAATTTGTGATTACTAAAAATCTGAAATATTTTAAAGTTTTTGTGAAAGAGGGTTGCATAAAACTCATCCCATAAGTCACTAAGTTTTAACTAAAATTAAAATTTTACCTTGTTTAAGTTGTAGTTTGCAGTTGTAAAAAAGATGTTGGCATTTTTTGATCAGGAACTACCTTTGGTTAACAATATTTTAGTTTCCATTGTCTTCAAAAATTTATTAATGAAGCATTAATACCTTTAAAGATATTACTACATCGGTACCAACTACAATCACCAAAGTGCCAAAGAAATTTTTTGGCTTCAAAAATTAAAAAAAAAGGAAAATAAGTAGAAGCTTATCTGTGGTTGCTGCAAGTTATACTCTTCTAGTTGGTCCCCATTCGTGATATATATATATTGGTTTCTTGTGGGCTACTCTCTGCAAGTTACAAACGTTTGGCAATTATTTTGGCACAGGTCCTGATATCAAAATCCTCCATTATATTTGTAAAGCTTTTAATCTGTTTTTAATTAAAAAGTTATTGGAAATTGTTTCATTTGTGCATCTGCATTTCAGACGAAGAATTTCGAGTTTTGGAGCTATACCCTATGAAGAAAGCGGCAAAGAGGACTGAAAAACGATTTTTTCGAGATGCTCAAGTAATGTTTATTGCACAAATTCTTTATGTGTATAGATACTTGTACCTATTTACCTTTTTGTATTTATAGATTGTTTTTATGCTTACTGATTCTTTACAAAACCCTTAAATAAATTTTTAAAAAAAATGAAAAAATTTTCTCAGAAAAGTGTAAATTATCTGACATTATTATTTTTTTTTATGTAAACCATAGATTTGTAAGTGTTTACTTGACCAATTAGTCAGTTAACTAATAAATTTAATTGTTCTTTTTTTAAAAGTTTATTTTAGTTTAACTTGTGTACATTAACCATCTATAAAGTGTGGCATTAGCTATGATTAACTGTGAACTGAAATATGTTAACTGTGACTTTAAATTGGAATCTGTTTAAAGTTTTCATCTTGTAACTCATTGAAGGTGTCATTAAATGTTCAGACGTGATGTTAGTACATGCTGGTTTTATTTAATTAGCATTATCTACAAAGATACATAGCCACACATTGTGGCAGCTGTAAATGAAAACAAAAATTAATTAAGTAAGTTTTGACTGGCATTTGATATTGTGAATTTACATCGCCATGACAATGGCTCCTGTATGAAATTAAATAATAATATTGTTATACTTTATATAATAATATATATTATATGAAATAGCTTACGAGGAATGAGATAGAGTGGGATCCAACAGTCTTGACTCAGAAGAAGGATAAATCTCCAAAAATTGTTAGATGCTTTGGGAGAACTATGAGAGCGTATAGAGTAATTAAACTTTAACGGGAGAGATGTGGCATCAGCTATAATTAACTGTAAACTGATATGTTAATTGTAACTTTATATCGGGATATGTGTTATGTTTTCATCTTGTATCTCATGTTATGTGATGTCAATATATTCTGCTCTATTTAATTAGCAGTATCTGAAAAGATACATAATCACACGTAAAGTACATTATGGAAATTTAAATTTAGCAGTGTAACTCTATTGCGTGAATATCTACTTTTACACTTTAGGCGTAAAGATACTTTTCTCTCTGAAATAAATTTATTGCATAATATATATTGTGTTAGTAGCGATGGTTTTTTTTTTAAATTTAATTTTTTTTAATCTTTTAAACATTAGGTGTTGAGACATTGTAAACACACAAAATGATATGTAATAATTATTATTCAGATAACTGTTAACAGGGTGCATAGCGTTTTTAAAAAGTGCTTAAAGGTGCTTATTTTCAATTTTCGTTTTTTAAAAGCTGTTAAAGGTGTTCTTTTCATTGTGTGTTTTTGAAAAGTGCTTAATTTTCCCATTTTTAGAATGAGATTTTTCCTTTACCATGTTGATTTTCTTACGAATTATGCAAAAAGACGCAGTTCACATTGTTCTATTCAACGTTTTCACAATTAATTCAACCCCAATTTATTTCTTCGTATTGTGAGTCTGTAGATTATGAAAACGCCATTCGTTTTACATGGTTCAAAATTCATGATTTTCGACAATTGTCAAAAACAATGCAAATGTTTTGTTTTTTTGACATGACGGTTAAAATAAGATAAGACTGTCAATTGTCAAAAACTTCCCAACCCTGTCTAATTATAATATTTTTTAAAGTGCTTGAAAAAATTTTTTGAGTGCTTAAAAGGTACTTGTTTTTTGTTGAATAATATAGCTATGCACCCTGTGTTAATTTGTCAAGTAGCTGTCAGGTAACTGTTAATTACACTGCTAAATTTAAATTTAGCAGTGTAACTTTATTGTGTAAATATCTACTTTTGCATTTTAGGCTTGAAGATACTTTTCTCTCTGAAATAAATTTATTGCTTAATATAATGTGTCAGTAATGATAATTTTTTTTAAATTTAATTTTTTTAAAATCTTTTAAACATTAGGTGTTAGGTCATTATAAGCACACAAAATGATATTTAATAATTATAATTCAGGTTTTACCTCCTCGAGAAAAAAGGATGCCAATTGATCAGGATTGGCCTAGTGTCTGGCCTGCAGCTAAAACTTTCAGACCTTCAGCTGTGCCTTTACCAGTTTATCAAGGGTATGATCAAAAGCGTGCACCTCCTGGAAAATATGCAAATGCAGAATTGATGAAAATACCTAACTTTTTGCATTTAACACCTCCTGCTGTGAAAAGACACTGTGCTGCTATCAAAAGTAAGTAGTATATAAATAGGTGTAAAACCATAGCTAAGTATTTTAATTCTGTACTTTTAAAGACCCATATTTACTGAAAGGGTCAAGAGACTTATTAAATTCAGCCTTTTGTTAAATTCAAATTAAAAGTTAGTATAAAAAATTTTAACTCATAAAAAAAAAAACTACATTAATTGTTTTATTGAGAAGTGAAAACATATTTCACAAATGCTGATTTTTTAAAACTTTACAAATTTTTTAAATGTTTTATCATCTGCAATCAACTTCAAAAAACTGTGTGAAAGTTTTCAATGAAATTATGACACTAGTACATGTCAGGGTTTTAAGTGAAGTTTAAGTAATATTTGACTTTTAAAAGCCATAAAAATAACTACACTGCTCAAAAAAATTAGGGGAGCCGTGTGCCCCCCTAATTTATATATATATATACACTGCTCAAAAAAATTAGGGGAGCGCATGGCTCCTCTAATTTTTCTGAGCAGTGTATTTTGATTGCACTAATATTAGTTTTTTAAGGAAATATATATTTTTCTGCAAAAGTTTATTTTAAACTTTTTTTTCTTCCTTTTTTAGATATATATTGTGAACTTCTGAACATTTTGAGAAATTTTTGTAAAGAAAGGCTTAAGAGATTAAAAATTGTATAGCTAATATTTTAGAATATTTCTTACGTTTTGTTACTGTATTTGTTTTATGTTACTTTTTTGAAGTATTTTTCACTAAATAACTAAGAATATAAATTATATTTTGAAAAAAAAAATTTTTTTTTTGCATTCTATTCCATTTCTATTTTTAACTTTGCTTTTTTTTGTTTTCTTTTTTTGTTGTTAGAATTTTGCACTGAATGGCCTAAAGGATTGGAAACTGATGAAGATTGCGAAAAGCATTTTCCAGTTGAGATTATTACTTCCGATTACTGCCATGCAAGTCCAACAATTCGTGATGAGCGTTCAAGAGCTGTTACGCTAACTGTATGATGTTATTTAATTTTGTATTTCAAATATTTTGAGTTGTATGTTATGACGTTAATTGTGTGTACTCCAAATCCGTGAAAGTATTACTGTGCATGAAAGATTAAAACTTTTCAATTAGGTTTAAGCAGTAGTAGGTCAAAAAAGTTTTTTTTCCATTTTTTTTCTTCATAAAAATAATATTTTATGCATTTTTGTAATTTACTCAATAAATATAAAATTTGTGATTAATATTCTGGTTAGTGCAATTCAGGCATATCAGTTTGACCCGTGGCATTGGGAATGGCCCCAAAATTTTGAGAAATTATGAATCGAATATTATTATTCATTTGCTTCAAAATTGAAATGGAACCAGATTGCTGTTTTTGTGCTTCACAAGATGTCATTCTTCTTTATAAACATTCAGTGTGATTTCTGTACAAAGTTATTTGTACAGAAATCATTTAAGTGCCTGTCTACTTACCTTTTTTTTTTGCATTGCATTTTGTGATATTAGGCATTTATAGCTTATCTATTGCCTTTATTTTCTTTGTATTTCAGTGTATTGCTCAACTTAGTACTTCATTTAATTTTAAATGGAGGATAAATTTTTTTAAAAAGACTGGCCTTTGATCTGTTATTGTTAAAATTTCCAGAAAACAGCTATGTCTTGTTTTATGTACAGATGTGTAAATGTGAAAGGTGTATAATTTTGATTCCCATTTATATTTTTCAAAACACAATGCTCTTAAATGTATTATGAAAAACTAATAAGATTTTCTGTGTTTAAAATTTCTCATTAGTGACTCATACTAATTAGTGCTTAGTAATTTAAATTTTGAAATTTTAATTTCACAATGTATTGTCCAAAAATAACTCAATGTATTAGGATATATTTTTTAATTTTATTAACATTAAACATTTTCATTCACCAAATTAGTTTAAAAAAATTAATTTTTCATATGCAAGTTACACATTTTAAAAAATAGTGAGTAAGTATCAAATATAGAATAATTTGTATACTTACACTGTCAATGCACTTGTTATTATATGTTACCTAAGGAATTGGCTACATACAAACTTGAGTTAATTTAACAATACTTTTAAATTGTGAATCACTATAGTAGAGACAAGGGTGTAGTGATTTTATTGTTGTTGATTGTTATTGTGATAATACCTTACTCATTAATCTTTGTGGTATTTTATGATCACTACGTTATAGAAGTCAGTGCTTATCGTTGTCAACAATTATTATTTATTTGATATATCATGAAAATATACTTTAAAAAATTAGTATCTTAATGTGTAAAGAATGTCCATATTTCATGATTTTTTAATATATTTTCAACTTTAAGGCTTATATAAAGAAAAGTATATTAGAATCGCTATGGGGGTTTATGTTCATCTGTTTAACATCACATCTTATTGTTTTTCTTTTGACTTTTCATTCGAAAACACCTTGAATATTTAACCAAATATATTATATAAAGTAATTAAAGCAGTTTCATTAAAATTCCCTAAAAAATTTATTTGTGCAGAAATAAATGAATTTCTTACATATTTTTATATTTCAGATAAAGTTAAGTAGTTTGAATTTTGATTATCATGCTCGTGATAAACTACTTAGACTCGCTGGGAGCAATCGTTACAAAAAAGGTACTGATGAGCTGGTTATTACTGCTAGCAGGTAATATTATAAATTTGATTTTATTCAATTTCTCAAGAATTCTGCAAAACTCTAACCTGTAGAAAATTATATTAACAAATTTTCCTTATTTATTAAATATCTGATTAATATTTCTAATTAATAATTTATTCTAGTTAATATTAGTTAGAATTTCAAATTTATTATAATAATTTTAAAAAAAACATTAAATGTAGGCACATAAAAATTAAACATTAAAAATGTAACATTAAAAATTAAATATTTACACCATTAAATTTAGTAATATGGTCAATAAAGAAACATATAAGATGTTCTCATATCATTCTCCATAGGTTAACGTAGGAAAGAGTTATCTTTGTAGCTGTTTTCAATTGGTTAGTTATGTAAATGATTAATTAAATGAATAATTTTTGTATAAAAATTACATTTTGCTTGTATTGAAAAGCTTGTTGCAAAACAATGAAGTAACACATTTTTCTGATTAGTTTGGAAATTTATTTTAACAGCAGAAAATTTAAGAAGTCATATTTTTATATTAATTTTGAGATTATTATCCCAAAACATGTGATATACATGCATATTTTCTGTGAGTTTTCACGCTGCTGAAAATGCATGTTACAAAAATGGATACAGCTCAAAATGCACATTTAAGAAAATGGGCAAAGATCAAAATGCATGTTTACAAAAATGGTCACAGCTTGAAATGTGTGTTTACAAAAGTTCGACGCTACTTGAAATGCTCGTTTATGAAAATGGACTCCGCAAAAACACTGCTTTTTAGTTTTCATCCCAAATGTAACATTTAAACAAAGAGTTACGCACATACTTTTCCTTACTTATTTAAACACTAAGCATAATCATTATGGGGCTAAGTCCCAAACACAGACCATCTTCCTAAATTCTGCAGTTTGTAGATTGGACTTGGAGGTTCGAAGTTCTGAACTTCAAGGTCAGGTGGCCTAGGTATATTTCTGATGTAACTTTTCAGTCATGGTCTTGATATTCAGAACAGTGCCCAGATTTAAATAGTCACCAACGATATACAACCTCTATGAGATTTAGCTTTTTTGCTTTCACTTGTGACTTCGTTTCATAATAAGTCCCTTATTTGATGTTTTTTCTTATTATTTTCTGACAACTGTTTTTTTTAAATAATTTATTTTGTTATTTAGAATGAATTTAAAAGTTGTAAAATTAATGAAAATATGCTGTTTCAAAATGCATCAAATATCTGATACTAGCAGATTTACTCATATTGAGATGCATTTTGTTAACTCTAAAAACCCACAATTGTTCTTGTGCTGGTTTAAATGAAGACTAATGTCAAATTTAAAAAAATGTCAGTTTATTAAAACAATACTTAAAAAATATTAAAACAGCTGTACACAGGAAACCATTATGAAAAATATTAAGAAACTGAAACATATTTTAGCTCAAAAACCAAGCGTCACTATTTGAAGAACTCTGTATTAACATCAGATAAGACATAACCAGACCTTCCTCCCATGTCACTTATTGATATTATTCTTTTAGTTTTGTCACAAACTTTATGATTCCTCTTCCTGTCTCAGTTTTTGTTTACAAACATAGTAACAAAACATTGAGGACAATGCTGTACCCTAAAAATATGCTTGAGAAAGAAATAAAATAACTCAAAATAAATAAAATAGTACAAACAAAACTGATTTACAAAGGGAAAAAAAGTCATTGTTGTTACACATTTCAACTTGCTTTATTTTTCACATGGTTGTCCAATTTTCATCTTTGAATTAGATAATGATAAGGAATGGCATGCGGATAAGAAACATCCTCCCACGTTTGTCCATTTTGTGACACAGCAGCATATTGTCAAAAATAAATTATTATAATTTCTGAAAAAGAGATCTTCATCTTGATCTTCAAATTCATAAGAGCAGGAATGAATATTGTAATTATATTTTTGAAAATCTTGAAGTTTCTTTCAACGTTTTGAACCAGATTTTCTTGTTTAATATGATTTTCTTCCTTAATCAAGAAAAGATGTATAGAATATTATAGCATAATTATTTAATGCTTGGATGGTTAAAATTAATACATTTTGGGATTAATGTTATAATTTTATTTCTAAACACTTATACTGCTTGATCCTGAGTTTCTTACTATTCAATTTAGTAGTTTATCTGCATAACAAATTGGTTTCTCTCAATTATTTTGTTTGGAGAGTTGTAAAGAGGAAATATTCAACAGAAACTTGTTTATTCTTTTGGTGCTTAAAGGATTAAATGTTGTCCCTCTAAATGTGAAACTGCTGCTCAATCAGATTAAGGCTCCTTTTGAAGGCTCTGATGTTATACAAAATAACTCTTTTTAAGCATTATTTTACTACTTTATTATGAGTTTGTAACATTTGTTCTTGGTTGTTTACATTTTTCCCACTTTTAGCCCCATCCACTACACTAATTATGAATTTGGCATGAAATTGTTAACAGAAAAAAAAAAAAAAAAATGCAGTATTGTGAACTTAAAAAAAGTTTGTGGTGTAATCTCTTAATATGTAAAAAGTTACTTTCATGCTGTGCGCTTTTAAAAGCCTACAAAAAAAAGAGATTTATTGATTTTAATAATTTTTGTATAGAAAAAGCTATGCGAAAGAAAAAGCTTCCACGGGTAGCTTTTGTAGAAAAAGCTTCCAAAACTGGCATTTTAAACAAGTTTAATGTATAGTTTGTTTTTTTTTTAAATGCTTCAGCTTTTCGTCTCTTTAAAAGACTGTGCAATTCTTTTTAAGAGCATAGTATGTATATTTTAAAATTAAAGTTTTTGAGTTTAAAATATTTTTACTTAAACTGTCTTTTTCTTTTCTCAAACGACATAGCTTTGAAAAACACTCTTAAATTTTTAGCCAAGAAAGGTACTTTTTCTTCTTACTACAATAATTTCAGGTTTCCATCCAGTAATTATTACTTCTAATGCTATCTAATTATCTAATACTTTTTTTTTGGGGGGGGACTAAGTTTTGTATAATTGTTAATTTTTTCAAACATTACTTATATAACAATCTGAGTTTCATTTTTTTTAGATGTCCACTGAGAAAACAAAATTATGATTATTTAATGTATCTATTGACTGCTTTGCATCATGAATCTTGGGTAAGTTTACTTTATAATGAATTAGTTTGATTGATTAAAATGCTGAATTGTTTGAAATTGTAAAGTTTTTATTTTTTGTTTGAACTTTAAGAAAATTGCTTTGGTCCAACAAAAACTGTTGAAATTTAACTTGAAGGCTAATGCTTGAAAGATTTAACTGTATTTAAAATTATGCATTTTACATTTAGTTGATATTGATTTCTAATGCAGGTAACAGAGCCGTGGGAACACAAAAAGACAGAGGCTGACATGGAAAAATTTTTCTTTGAGAACAGCCGTATTGAAAATAAAATGTCTAAAACAATAGCACTCATAGAATCTAAATCAGATAATGTAAGTCTATTTTATTTTAATTTTAAAATTATTAAATAATTTTTAATCTACTGCTAAAACTATTAAAAGTTTCAAACTAATTTATAGGGACCATCATGTTTTTTTTTCTTGTTTGACAGAGACATAAATGTTTGTCCAAAAAATTTATAATTTATGCTAAATTTAATTCAAATTTTTTTCTCAATTTAATTCTTATTTTTTTCTATTGAAACAAAATCCTAAAATCCACCCCCAAAAAAATCACAATAACATATACTCTATATTGGTGTAATGTTAAAAATGTTTTTGGGTGACATTTAAAATTAATCAAAAAGTATTTTTTAGTATTTATTTATTTATTTTTGTATTATTGAAAGGGTATTATTATAAGCAGGTTTTTCTGTTTTAAATATTTTTTTACGACCTGGTAATTTGGATACCACATTGTGTTGTTATTTTTATTTTTAAACTGTTAAAATTTAATTAAAAAAAGACATTTATATTTTTTATGTATTATGTTGTCTTAGTTAGTTTTTTTAAAAAGAAAAAAATATTGTTTTTGGGTGTTTATAGAAAAATTTTGCAATAATGCAATACTTTCTTTTTAATTCTATAATTAACTTTTTAATTATAAATTTAAATTAAAAACTTGCAAACTGTCGATTATATTTAAACTTAATATTTGTCAGATCTTAAAGTAACGCTCCCATCATTTGAGAACTGCCCTTTTTCTTTCTTCAATTTCAAAGATATTGAGTGTAACATTTCACACTCAAGCACTTCTAAAGTGTGTCATTCACATTCAAAGTGTACTATGAAATGGAGAGTTAATTCCCTTTAACCAAACTAGTCCAAGCACACTGTGATCCATCCAGGCTTTGTAAAATAAATATTTCATAATTTTTCTATCACACCTTGTGTGTTTGAGGTCAGTTGAATATATTCATAACCAAAAAAAAACTATTTTAAAACTTAAGTTGTCCATAATAATCAGATCTTTTAAGTGTCACTATTTCTCAAACTCTAATCACATTATTTTTTAACTCTATTAATAATACGCAGATGCTGCAAATTTATACTTTCCCAGTAAGCTGTAGAATTTCTATTTACTCGTACAAAATATAATTTTTAATATATTTTTGATATTTAATTTTAGGATAACATTGTAGAAGAAACAAAAAATTCTGAAAAAGTGACATCTTTTGGTAAAGCTGTCACTGAACTACTCAACAAAGGTGAAACTGAGGAAACTCTCAGTGAATATAAAAAGTCAGTTCTGAACTCTTTAGGTTTATCAAATTAAAGTCATTTATGTGTTTTAGTATGTTGAGAGGCTCAACATTTTATTCATTTGTACATAAAATTCAATAAATAAAGTTATCAATTGTTTGTTTTAGATATTTTCTCATGTATTTTCAAAAAGAACTCCTGCACTTAGTCTTTTGGTTTTTACACATTTTAAAAAGTTTCATGAGATTGAAGAAATTTTCTAAAAAAATCTCTTTCAAAAAAAAAAATTTTTTTTTTGCTTGCATTATTGCTTGCTTGGATAATAACCAGTCATATATAGTAAACAATTTGGAGCTATTTTTTAATTCTGGAAAATTTCAAAATTAGTTGAGAGTTTTCTATTTTGAAATTGATTTTAAAAATTTTTGAGTTGTAAACTTTTTGAGCTTTATTATCTTAAAAATAAGCTTAAGAATACAAAAAGAAAAGTGGCATTGAACTCTATTTGAAATCAATTACAAAAAAAAAGTAATGATTATAATGAAATGAAATTTAATGGTATTATAGTGTACTTATTACAATCACACTTCATTTGAGGACATTTTATTGCATAATAAAATGTTAAACTTATAATAAAATGTTTTAAGGCCGAAATTTACAATACATTTAAAGCTAAATTAATTACAACATTTACAGTTAATTTAAATTGCTTTAAAGTACATTTTAAATAAACGTAAGTTGCTTTTTTTTAATGTGCTGAAGGGTCTAAAAATTAAATGTCACATTATCTGATTTTTAAATAATTTTATGGGTTTTTTTATTACCTCAGTTGCATTAAATATTTTGCTTTAAATTACTTATTGTTTTTCACAGAAAATATAATTATCTTTTTTCAACATCTTGAATGTGTTGATTTTTGTAGATTTACAGAATTTTTTACTATATTTAAACAGACGTATGAAAATTTATGCTGATGAAAATCTTTCTGCCTTATATTTCCTTCCTCAATTTTTATTTTATCATTACTTTTTTGTGTGAAATATATTACCTCCGCTTCATTTTTTCGTCTTCCTTGAGCGTCATCTTGAACATTTTTCCTATTTCTTTAGTTCTATTTGGATATTTCATTACATTGAAACACGTGTATAAACAATTATTCTGCCAAAAAAGAAAAAAAAGTTTTTTTTCTAACTTAGTTTTCCCTCATTAGTCCTGTGTGAAATTTTAACCTTCGTCCTCAATGTTTAATTTTATTTTTAACATCTTAAATTTTATTTTGCTTAAATACAAAAATTTTTTTTTTAAAAATTACCATTAAAATATTTTTTTTAACTCGAACATAATGTTAGAGGAAATTTTACTGAATTGAAACATAACTATAAAGATTTTTTCTGATAAAAGTTTCTTTGACTTATCTTCATTTCATCACCTTGAAGTTATCTATTATTATTATTTTTTTAAATCTCTTTGTCAACCACAATCCACTACATTTTGAATAGAAACATATCTTTTCTTAATTATCGTTGAACAATTTATATTGGATCATGTAGCATTTTGATATGCATATTTTAGATAAATATTTTACTGCTTTTAAACACTGGAGAAATTAGTAATTTCAAAATATTTGTATTTTTTGAAAGAATGTTTAAGTTGAATTAAAATTTTAAGTATATAACTAGTGCTCCCAACAACTCCAAAATTATGAATTTGTTTCTATTAAATGGTTTACAAATTTAAAAAGTTACAAACACTTTTCTAAGTAGTTTTTGCACTTTTTAAAAGAAAGTTCAAAACAATACGGGGTTTCCACAAATTTTATTTTGTACTGTTAAACAAGATTTATTAAGAATGAGACCGGCATTGTAGGGGATCATCCCCCGAAAATGTATGTTTTCTTTCCTTATACCATTACATTTTGCTTTTCAGGTGATTATTGTAAGATATTTTCATTTGTTATTAAATTTTGTCTTATGATACAAAGTAAAATTTGTAGAAAACCCCTGATCATTTTGAGCTTTCTTTTAAAAAGTAAAAAAGCTTACTGAAAATTGCTTGAAACTTTTTAAATTTTTAAGATTTTCAAATTTAACTTTTTTAATTAATTTTTAAATATTGTTCACTACAATATTATAAAGGAAAATTTTTTTTTTTTTTCTGTGCGTGCGTATAATGAAAGAACTACTTTAAATGCTCATATCTTGCGCAGTTTTTACGAATATTTTTAAAACGATAATTTTGGAATTAATTTTTGAATTGCTTCAAAAATTTTGTTTAATTTCATTGAATATTTTTTAAGTTAAAGCAATAAAACGTTAAACAAAACAGTTTTTTTTTTTTTTTATAAAAATGTCCATATCTTCATAAATATGTATGCTAGGTTTACGATATTTTATGCTGTTATTAAAAATAACAACTTAAGTAATCGATACAAACTTATTGTTTGATATTCTGCTATAGGGTGCTCAAAAATACTTGCTTTCATTCGTAATTTATTGTTATGTCTCTGAAACTTCTGAAAGCTTTAAATTTCACTTTTAAAGCTACAAAATAATTCAATTCAAAAACTGAAAGTGTTTCTTCCATTATTGTAGGGAATATGCAAATGTATATACAAATACATATGTCTGATTGAAACATACAGGTGAGCTCGCACTCATTTTCGGGTTGGCCTAAGCTTGAAGACTTGATCTGAGAAACCCTCCTCGAATCTGAGTTCAATAGGAGTGTTTTGAGCTTAAGCCCTTTGAGCATCAATAACATCTGATTAAGAACAAAATGCAAAGAAGATAAAAGACAGAAATTTGCAAAGGCGTTTTCAAATCATGGCATTCAGTACATCTAAATTGTTAAAAATTAATTTCAATTTTTTTTTCTTATATAGTATCTGGACGAAATAGATTATATGCGTTTATTTAGTTTAAAAGTAGTTGAAAATGTTGTATTGAAATGTAAATATTGTTCTCGAGAAATAAATAGTCCTGTTTTTTAAGCATTTATTTCTTAAAACTATTCAAAAAATGTGTTTAAAATTTTAGATTTTTCCTGTTAAAATACCAAATTTTGCATTCTGAATATGCAGAGGAAATTAGAGTAAAATTAAAAAAGAAAAATTAATCACTTTAATGTATTGTTTATTATAGTTGGCATTAATTAATACTTCTCTTGGTTAGAGCCATACAGATAGCCATTTGATTTTTTTTTTGTGGACATATAGATTTTATGGAGAGAAACTCTAAATTGTTCTGGAATTGGTCACTAGATGTCGCGTCATGTCTTGCGTGATGAAATCCTTTAAGGTAAAACCTTTAAAATCTTGGCGAGAATTACTAATTTTACATTTGAAAATTTGCTTGCATCACAAAATGCACAAGGCATAGTGGCCGGCGTTACAGCCTCCCCNCCCCCCCCCCCCCCCTGCGCTGAATGTTGTTGATATAGAAGAATACTCTAGTCGGCCTATACAAACATTCTGACAACTTAAATATTTATTGTTAAGAATTAGAAATCGCATAATCTAAATACCTCTTAAGTTATTAAATAAACCAAATATTTTAATTAAGTATTTCTTGAGAAATTTTAAAAAATGTCAACTATCCCTTCCATTATTGTAAAGTAGTGTATGTATCAATCTGCGATTCTGCAATGTGTGTATTTTTTGCAGCTTTTTTGAGAATGTTTATAAAAATATTCAGTAGAATCCCTTGTCGTATAGCGCTCGATCATCCGATTAATCGACTTCTCTTTCGACTCCCGTTAGAATAAATGTAGTGGTCACACATGTCATCTTTATTGTAGATGTTACCCAATTACTGATTCATATTTGAACTGTATGTCAATAAATTCCACATACAATTCAATCCAATTAGGGCTATGATGACAATTCTGAAATGCGAATCTTAGAAAACGATAACAGAGAGGTTTAAGCTGTCATCTGTACTTACCAAAACTATTGAAAATTTATCAGTGATCAATCAGTTACTAGTAGGAACTAATTGGAATACGTTTCATTTCAAAGTAAAATAGTGTGAGCAACTGGTTGCCATAACAACTGCAATATTACGCCATTTGAGTGAATGGTAATAGTCAAGTGATATATTAGAGTTCAGCCTCTGGCTTGGACATCTCTAAAGATATATCCAAGCCAGAGGATAGAATTAGAATAAATTAATCAATAATCTTTTGCACCATTCTTATTGGATGATTCATATTTACATCCCAATTGAATCGTATTACTATTGGTTGCTATCTGTAACTCATAGATTTCCAGCGGATAGGCAGTGACATCAACTTAGATATCTCCATTAAACAGTAAACAAGAAAATTTCAATGATTTTTTTCTTGTATCGTTTTTTAAAAGAGAAAAGTAAATCACAAGTAAGGATTTGTGATAAACTTTACTTTAGTCGTTAATTGTTTTGAGTAGTTCTACTTATACCTTAATGTTTATTATTCTCATAAAATTGATTTGAAAAAGGTCCGTCGATTATCCGACAATTTCGATTTTCCAACATACTTCTGGTCCCATAAGTATCGGATAATCGGCGTTAATTACGGATATTAAGGATTATGGGTCACTTGTGATAACAAAATATGGAAACCAATCAAATGACTAGCATTATGTGGTTTTGTTTCTCTGGCCAATGGGATTAAATTTTAGAAGATTTGGCTGATATACTTTTTTTAAAGTAATTTTTTTCACTGACCTCTGCTAAATAAGTCAAATCAGTGAGACGTAAATCTATCATAGTATCTGAGATATTAATACGCAACTAGAAGTTACTTTCTTTCATTTTCGTAACTTTATTTTGTCATTGATAGGGAAGATATAAAATAAGTTTCTGATATTACCCAAGAAAAAAACAAAGAGCCAGGTGTTTCAAAATTACTTAAAAGGCCCGAAGGACATAAATTTCTCGGCCATCTCTTTCTTCGGTCCATTACGAACAAGCTGTTATTCAACCTGCGATAAAACTTGAGCTAATGCTTATTGCAAACCAGTATAATGTTAGAACAAGAATAATAAAAATGTTTAAAAGCTTCTTTTTCGGTTTTTCTTGGAATACCAACAGAAATGGGAAGGATAGATAAAGAAGAATGTCTGATAAGTTGATTTTAAAAACGTCTCCCCTGTCTCTGATAACCCATTGCTCTTTCTTTGAAGTTATT